AATGCCTGTCATCTGTCCAAATAAAACACATCCACTAAGATGGGAATTGCACGGAGGAGCACACAATCATTTCCTCCTCTCATTCTTCCAGGCAAGAACAACACTGTAAATAGCCCTTCAGATCTTTTGTTAGAAGCATAATAAATGTTTATTTCTGTCAACCAACTTTCCCCCGCCACGGCTGAGGACGAGCAAAGCGGATTTCTGGTGAGCAATGAGAGCAGGGCCAGGAATTCCTTTTGCTCCTTTCTCAGCTTCCCGCAGGAAAGCAGCTCTGCCTGATGGCCGTAGGCACAGGGATCGGGATGGGGACAAATCCTGGCAGTGCTGCTGGTGGCTCTGGACTCCAGGTCAATCAATGTGCGTTTGGTGGGACGTTTCCCTTAGAGAAATACGTGAGATGCCTCTGTTGAATGGGACAGATGTGGCAGGAGGGACGGGGTCACCAGATGTGTCCACGTGTTTATGGCGAAGAGGATTTCTTCCTTCTGATCCCACGGGATTGTCCTGTGCCTTGCAGGCTGTCTGCCTTCTTTAGAGCGTTTTTTAGAAGGGAAATATTAATGCTTGCATAGGAAATCTCAGGGCACATTTTTAGATCTAATTCAATTAAAACTCGACAAGACCTGAGCAAATTTTCCATTTCCTGGAGCTGGAAACAGGAATGTCATTCTGCTGAGCTCACCTACCTGCATCATGCTTCCAGTGAAGAACTGAATTGCCAGTTCCAAGGAATCGTCACTCCTACTCAATGATCATTTCCCATTCCAGTTGATGAGACTCAACAAAACTCAATTTTCTCAAAAAAAGAAAGGAAGAAAGAAAGGAAAACAAGCCCCAAATGTCAGAAAGCAAAGCCAACCAGCCAAAGAGAAAACAAAGAGAAAAAATCTCAATCTCAGACCATCACGGCCCTGGAAAATGCCCAACGCCAAGTCGACAAACACAGTTGAAAATATTTTTTCTCCTACAGTAGCTTTGATGTGACCTCTCCATTGCCTCGAGGGAAAAATAGCAATTGCAGTCATACTCAGGAAAAGCATCACAAGCGTTTGTGGAAGAACTGTTTCCCAAAGGAAGTCTGGAGGAGCAGCAGGGTGTCCTGCAGGCACGGAGGGGGAGCAGAGACACTTTTTGGGAAATCAGTGCTGATCCTTTGCCAGAACTGCAGTCACTTCATAGGGCGGGAGGGAGAAGTGTGTGTGCTGCACACTGAGCAGCAGACGCAGTGCTGCACCGGATCTCTCTCTATAAGCACAGCAATGCTATTTTTTTCACGCTCGGAAGAAAAGAGTTAATGCAAAACACCACCAAACATGGCTGGAAATAGAGCTGCTTTGCCTCGCAGGGGAAAGGACCCGGAGGCTGTGGGCACGCAAAGCCGTTCCTTTTAGTGCACTATGATGGGGTGCCAGGATGCCTCAGACGAAGCAGGGATTGCACAGACCCACTGCTCCCAGTGGTATGGCTAAATCCCAGCTCGTATCTCCCTGAAGCGTTGGGTGAATGGAAGTTCTGTGGCCGTTACCACTTCCAAGAGGCGCTCACACTGCCCTGGTCTGCTGCTAGAAGTAATGACAACGTGGAAGGGACAGAGGGTGCTGCTCCAGAGCTCAGCACCATTCCTCCTGAGACTGCAGAAGTGAGCTCAGCCTCTGTGTTGCCGCACATCTGGGGGATGTGGATGTGGTTTGTCTGCCTTTGTCACATGCTTCACACTGGGTGAGGAACTCAGGTGTAAGGAACGAAGGGTTTCAACGCCAGCTGGACAGCCCTTGGTGTTCTGCAGAAAGCAAACCCAACAGCCTGCAAAACAACGAGCTCTCAGTGCCTCACCTGATTTGATCTCTATGGGAAATGGAATGTCAGAACCATCTGAGATGAAACTGAAAGTCTCAAAAGACTTTTCATTGAGCTGTTTATGAAATGCAGAAGAGAGGAGGAAAGTAACTTTTGGCGTATCTCGGCCTGACTTTGAGACTCCTTTAATCAGGGAGATCATACGGGATAACATCTTGCAGATGGTGATGGCTTTGGCTCTCATTTTCCTGGAAAATCTGGTAAAAAATCACCATGGATTCCTCCTGGTTGTCCCACGCATCCCATCCCAGAGAACAAAGCCAAAACCCTTCACCCATTTTATGACACAAGTTGGACTGGGTGACTCAATCTGCAAATCCTTCAGTATGTGAGTACGAAATGCCACCAAGAAAGTTAGAAGTAAGGAGAAAACACAGAATAAACGATAACTGAAGTAAGTGAAGGAGGGTAACAAGGGGATGCTTATCAGAAAGCCATCTGCAGGATGAATTGTAGAATGGCCTGGGTTGCAAAGGAGCACAGTGCTCATCAGTTCCAACCCCCTGCTGTGTGCAGGTCACCAAACAGCAGCCCAGGCTGCCCAGAGCCACATCCAGCCTGGCCTCGAATGCCTGCAGGGATGAGGCATCAACAGCCTCCTTGGGCAATGTGTTCCAGTGTGTCAGCACTCTCAAGATCTCCCAGATTGGGCCTTGGATGAGGGAGAAAACTCATTACAAGGAGACACTGAAATGGAATTGAGACAAAGCACTGGACAAATAACTGCAGCAAATAACTCTGCTCTGTTTCTCTGGGCCCCACAGAGCAGTGAGAGTGTGCAGAAAACCACATGATGAACGGGAAGAAATGGGTGTGAGTGCTGAGGAGGGGTTTGCACAGAGCATAGAGCAGAGCCCAGGGCTGTGATCCCAGCATTGCAGGGCTGCTGCATCTTCACTTGGAAAAGGTATCAGCTGAAAACATGCAGCTTCAAGCAGGAGATTCCCAAAGCTGCAGGGATGAAGGGGAATCTCCTCTCCTGCTGCCTGTGCCCTGGGGGAGGCATTTCCCAACGCTCTGCTCTTGTTTCAGAATTAGAAATGCTGGTTAGGCAGAAAGGAAGGAAGCAAGTAAGCCAAAACCAAGTGAGATTTGCATTAACCTTCATGCATCTCAGTTCTTCCTCCACTTCCGTGCTTTACCACCATTTTTGTCCCTTTGACCTCCTATCTTGATCCATTCAATTCCTTAGGCAGAAGAGACGAGGCCATAAATCTTTTCACTGTTCCCCCATAGAGAAACCTGTCCTATCAGCTGTGCAAAAAGGAGCCAATAATTCATTTGAGATACGTGCAACCCTAGAACTTACTGCAAAAATGGAGAACAGAGGCAAGAAAGCAGAGAAAACAACCATTCCTTATCCTCCATGTTTTCCTTTACCCAGGCACAGACATAATGCTGCTCCTCAGGGTGTGTGGGGGGAGGAGGTGTGCACATCCCATGGGGGCAAGGAAGATGTATGGAGAGTGGTGGTGTTGGCATGACCTGAGGAAGGGTTAACCACCAAAGAACAGAAATTTGGACTCATTTCACAGAACGGAGCTGCAGCGTTATTGGAAACAAAAACTGCTTTCTGACAGCTTCCTCAAAACCTTCAAGAATGTTGGGAAAAAACCTCAGCAACACCCAAGCAATGCAGGTGCTGTTATTCCACCGGATTGCTTCAAAAATGAACTCTGCATGGAAGGAAGGGGAAGAAACCAGGAATGGAATTGTTTGGGATGGACAGAACCCCTGGGGGGGGGGGATCACGAAGAAGGGGAGAGGGTCAGCAGTGAGAGAGGAGAAGGAGCAGGCAGCAGAACAGAGCTGGAAATGCTTTGGTTCAAAAAGCAAAGAGGAGAACTTTGGGCAGAGAAATTTATGCTTTCTTACCTCCTGTTGAATTCTAATGAAATCTAATTGTATTCCAGACTCCAAGGGAAAAAAAAAAGAAAGAAAGGAGAAGAACAGTGTTAACCAGTGTACAGAGCTGGCCAAGCACTCAAACAAGGGTTCAGCACAAAGCAAACAGGGTATGGAAAAGCACGGGAAATCATGTCGTGCTGGCACGCAGGTCGGTGCAAGGCAGCCTATTGGGGCTTCTTTGGGGTGCAGGAGGGGACACTGAGTGGATCCAGGGGGTGGGAGGTGAGTGGGGCTGCAGGTTGGGGGAGGCACTGCGGTGCTGGGAGGAGCAGAGCGGTTTGCTTTTCTTTCCAGCAACGGGCAGAGGTTGTGAACAGGGAGGGTGCTGGGGAAGAGTGTGACTCACTGCAGGATTCGTGGTCTCACAGCTGAAAATTCTGTTCTGTCATCCTGACAAGCAAAATGCTCACATGTAATGGGGATGGTTGCTGCGAAGAGTAACAACCCCTGCAGCACAATGAACTCGTTCTTATCGAAACCAAACACAAAACCAAACAGCATTCAAAGCACAATACTGGGTTTGCGTGGCACAAGGCAGCACAGCCTTCATCAGCACCTTTAATTCCCCACTTTGATGCAGGAGCTCTGAGCGTGAGCCTGGTGTTTGGGAGCAATGCTGTGTGCTCGTAGGATCATTCCAGTTGGAAAAGCCCTCTCAGACCCCCAGCCCACATCTCTCAGTGCCACATCCCCTCTGTTCCGGAGCACCTCCAGGTTCTCCCCCCTCCCTGGGCAGGCTGTGTTGGTGCATCACCAGCTCTTTCAGAGAAGGAATTGTAGTGAGATTTGCTATTACCTGTGGTGTCTGAGGGACACCTCTCTCCTCCCCCTCCACACCGAGCCCTGTGACAGGACTCACCCACATCAATACCCTCTGCTCAACCCGTGTCACCCCCAGAGAACAACAGGTGGAGGCTGATGTCAGCGTCACCGCATCACACCCAGGTAACCCCAGCAACACCAACACAAACACACACCGGGATGCCGGTCAGGCTGGCTGCTGTGCTGCACCAGCTACACTGCAGTGCTCAAAAGAAACTCATATTCACAGCCAGCGTGTGGAAGCTCACACACCGTGAGCCCACGCTCCCCCGTAATCCGCTCCAGCTGTGGCCGTGTGTTTGAGGAAGCGTCTGGGACTCCTCTGCCACACGGGGCATCAGTTTTTCCAGACGGCTGAAAGTGCTGAGGCTCCTCATAGTGCCGTGATTCAGGCGACGTCTCTTGTGAAATCACCCTGGGATGGTGCCTGGCAAGGCAAACCCCGCTCTGACGTGGTGCGAGCACGGCGATATCTATAAAAGCCAGGGAGTGAGCCAAGGGAACGGCACACTGCTGCGGAGCACACACAGCACACGGTGATGGGGAAAGCCAGCACGGGCTGCTTTGTTCAGCAAATGTAAGTATTTTGGCTTTTAAATGGAGTGGAAGTGGAGCGGAGCCCATGGCAGTCAGGGCGGTCGGTGGTGCTTTGGGTGTTCTGTGTGTTCTCAGGCATGATTCCAAGAGGAGTTTTGGAACAAGTCTTTGCCTGAGAGCAGTGGCTATTTTTTACGTGCCTCGCAGGTTACAGCAACATAGAAAGGACAGAACAAGGACTGTGGAAGTCACTGTTCACTGGAATTTGTGAAGCACCCCAGGAGGACAATTTCAGTATGGATAAAAGACCAGTGCGGATGGAGATGTGCCATGGGCCAAGGCTTTGTCTGAAACAGTGCAAACAGAACCTACCCAAACAGCACTGCCCCCAAACAGCACTGGGTGATGTGGGACAGAACCATGAGGAGCTGTTGGAGAGCCCTGAGCTCACAGCTGGCAGGGTTTGGGCCGCACTGTGCCAGCGATGTCACCTGGCTCTGCTCCATTTACTGGAGCAGTGCATCCTGGCAGCACTTGGAGCAAGCACTGGGAGCTCTCCCAGCCCCAGGACTGCCTGATTTCTGCCAGGTTCTTCGGTTAGAAGGAGAAGCATTCCCACCCACAGCCAGCTGCTGAGAGATAAACACCCCAATGCCCAAGGCAAGGGAGGAAACGGAACCTTGTTCTGCTGCATTCTGGGTGGGAGCTGAAAGCACCAAATCACAGCACGTAAGGAGTAGACAGAGACAACCACAACAGCCCCATCTCCCAGGGCAGGAGGGATACCTTGGGCACATCTCAGATGGACAGTGGGAAGGCATCACCCTTTGGGAAACCGCAACTCTTTTCCAAAGCCCATTGCGACCCTATGTGGAATGCAGCATTAAGTAAAGCTTTCAGGAAGAGAAGATGTGAAAAACACTCCGAGTTCCTGAGCATCTGGTCTGGCTGCTTCTGAGCACAGCCCCCGGCTGCACCGGCTGCTCAGCATCCCTGGGCAGCACCCATCATTGGGAGGGGCCGTGGCTCATCACCGGACCCCAGGGTGAAGGACAGAACCCAGTGCTCAGGAGCTCAGTGTTGAAATGCTTCACCTGGCCGTGATGAAGATCTGCTGTAAATCCAGTCTGGAGGTCACTTTCCTTCAAACTTACATGGAGAAAAAAAAAAAAAAAGAAAAAAGATGGAGGAAATTCCTGAATGGACAGACAGATCAAAGCAGCCTGGTTTTATGACAAGCCTTCCTTCTGGTTCAGTTTATTTTCCTGTTAATGTTTATCTCCACATTCTCCAGAGGAGATGTAAAACCCCAGGTCAAGGAGCTGCACACTTCCCTCGCTCATTGAACCGCCCAAACCAGTTCTGATTTGTTTGCTGCCTTCCTTCTGGGAACCACGGCCTTGAATTCAGCCAAAGACCTCTGGCCAAACACATTGATCTCCTGCACGCAGCAGCCAGGTCACAGGGACTTTGCATCACGCAAGAATTTATGGTCAGAAAAGCATCCTTAACGTACCTGATGATCTTAGAGGTCTTTCCCAACCTTAATGATTCCAGCAGCCAGCCCAACAAGGAGGAACTTCCTTGAGTAACAGAACAAAGCAGAGCTCAGCTACATGTAACACAGTTTGGTTTTCCTCCACCACCAGCCAGAAGGACAAGCTTCCACACTGCAGGTTGGGAGGGCTTGTTCCAACAGCAGATCCTCATTCCAGCAATGCTTTTTATCCAAGTGGTCAAACCAACGCTCAGTGACCAACCCTCCTCTTCACCTTCCATCAGCAGTGAGGCAATGCCACATCTTGGCAGGTTAGTGGACTGTAAAGGACTGAGCTGGCAGAGACCCTTGTGTTAATGGAAAGAGCCCTGAACTACAGAGAAATGTTGCTTTTGACAGAAAACACAGATTTTTTTTCTAGTTAAATGTGGAAAATGAGGGTAAGATGAACCCATCCCAATTCAGCCACAGTACAGCTGAGTTTTTCCTACCTCTTCACAAAGGATTCCCCCAGGTTGGCTCAGGTACATAAAAGAGGAGAAAAGGTGCTCATGGATCTTGGATGAGTCAACCTGGATGAGCAACTGAGCCTCAAGAAGCAACAGGAATCCCATCCTTACAGATGCTGGCTCATGTAGTGCCTTTCTCAGGAATTGCACAGAATTATCACTTTGGCATTGTCTCATGCAAACTAAAATCAGGCAGGAACCACAGCAGCCACCCAGTCCTGCTGGGTAACTGCAGGAAAAGCCTTGCATGCAGTCCAAGCCCCAGGGCGCTCCTGCCAGGGGGAGCAGCAATGCCATTTCCTTCGTCTGTGATCTTAATTGACATCAGGGCAGTTTGACAAATGAGCATCTCTTCTAATCCAGGCTGTGCAATGCTGACTCCTTCCACTCTGAACCACATTTTAGCTTTCTTTCATCGCCTTCAATCCACATCAAACACTGCCAGCAGTCGATACCTTTCTCAAACTGCTGGCCTCACAAATGGTTACAGCATTCTTGCTCATGTGTTACAGCAGACTTCATAAGCTAACTCAATAAGCGTGAGCTCTGTTCCTTATTCTGCAGATCCTCCTCTGATACATCATTCCTACAATTTCTGATAATTAGCCTCTCATTTTTCCACCCCTCTAGGCATGACTTAATTGTAGCTCTTCCTAGCCTGCACTGCCTAGCTTACTCCTTTGTATGATGCCTCATAAACAATGTTGGAAGTCTTAACAAAATCCAAGATGAATATATCTTGAATTTTATATAGGTACTTAAATAGAAGACTCTTGCTGACTGCTTTCTCCCCCCAGGCTCTATCACCCTGCTAGAGGAGGGAGCTCAGCCAACTCAGTATGCTTCACCTGTGAGGAATCCCCCTTGTGTTTCCTTGTCTCCACTCCATCACTCAGATGACGTTTGGTTACTTCAGCAGTTTGCTGGGAAGGAGCCCCTCTTGCTCCTCTCTCAGGGCAGGGCCTGCTTCTCTTCTCCAAGTTTTCTGGAGCTTTTCCCGTTTGTCTTTAAGGACTTCTCAGTGATAACCATGAATATCTCTGAAATTGCTTCATCCAGTTTCAAAGGCAATGGATTCTTCACTGCCAGACTGTTGGCTCACTATGGCAAGCTAGAAAAAAAAAAAAAACTTGCATAATGGAAGTAGCACCATTCTGACCTTGGTTTCCCAGTATTTGCCTGGAGTCATTACAGTTCCTTGCATTAATTACGAGAAGATGCTAGGATCCCCTGGGTTTGCAGGCCATTTCTTTCATAATTGATGCACTTTGAGGATTTCATGTACTGAATGACTGCAATTCTGGGTAACAACCAATGCCACAGCAGTGCTGCAGTGAGCACGGAGTCTGTACAAGCACGTAACATTTGTCTGGAACGTATCCCACCAGTCTTACACGTAACCACCTTCTTTATATGCATTCCAGGTGTTCTTCCCTAGCTGGCATTTCCAGGGAGAGAGACCACATGAAGGATTTCAGAAGATACCTGGTGCTTAAGTACATCCAGTACCTCGTCCTGTCATCTTCCAACGCCATCAGCACCCTGCTGGGTGTGCTGGGCAGTGGGTACGTGATGCTCATCCTGCAGTCCTCCAGAGTTTCCTCCAAATCCACTGCAGTTTTCATCTCCAGCCTAGCAAAAGCAGACCTCCTCATTTCTGTGAGTGCTGTTGCTGAGCTGTTCCTGTGGACCTCCAGCATTGCTGTCCCACGCACAGCATTCACACCAGCACTGCTGCAGAACCTCCTGGTGGCCAACACACACATCAGCGCCCTGCTGCTCAGCTGCGTGGCCGTGGAGGCATACCTCATCACCTTCTTCCCCATGGAGTCCCGCAGCCTGCGGACAGTGAGAAATGCCAGGCTGACCTCCAGGGCCATCTGGCTGCTGGTTGCTGCCGAGTGCATCCTGCTGCAGGTTGATGATGTCCTGAAGGCCAGCAGCACTTCTCCATCCTACAGCCCCACTCTCTGGTTGCTCCCCCTCTCCAGCGGGGCTGCAGCCCTCCTCAGAGCCCTCAGCTACCTCCTAGGCATCCTTCTCAGGATTGTCAATGTCTACATCTACTACAAAATTTTCTTCAGCGTGTCCAACAGATCTGCAACGAGAACAAAGTAGTGGGCACGTCAATACCAGGCAGAAGACCCTCCAACACAAATGGTTTGAAAGCCTTCCAACAACCAGGAAGCCAGGGCTCATGTTTGGAAGCACAAATCTGTCCTGTTTCGTGATGCTGTTGGCTTGGTGATGATCGTGGGGGCCTGAGGAGACCTGGAACCCATAGGTTGTCCTATGGAGTAACACCATCCCACAGCGGGTGTTCTCAGTCTGGAGTCTGTTTGCTCTGCAGGTAAAACAAATGACATTTCATGAAGGACAGTGAGAAGTGAAGCAATCAAAATATATTTATATAAAAAAAAAATGATGCTTAGAGGCTTACTCAGGGATGCATTGAGCCAAGAGCTGTATAATTGGATACTAAATCCATTATTTATGTCCTGCAATCTCTAACTCAGGTTAAGCATGAGGCTCAGCAGTAGGATCAGGAGACAAGGGGAGTTTGAGAGAGGAAACTACCTTGGTGTGTTCTGCAATCTGTGTTCATTCACAGCCCTTGCTACCTCCCCAGATCTCTGCTTCCACATCAGAAACCAAGCAGAGGTGATGCCAATGGCGTGGCTGGGTCTAAGCAATGAAAGCACCAAGCTCTTACCTCAGCTGCTACAATCCTTTACAACAATCCAATCCTTTGGCTGCAGTGATAGACTTAAAACAAACAAACAAACAATGGATATGGTTATGATAAAAAGAAAATCACAGAGGCTTCAGCCTAAGTGCCATTACAACCAATACCAGTGGTGTCAGAGGCACTGCATGCAGGGATGGGGACAAGAGAGGGCCAGAAGCACACAGAGGGTTCATGGCAAAACAGGGCAGCCCCAAACCACATTGCTTACTGAGCTTTGCTGCGATGCCATCGGTTCGGATGTTGCCTAACAAAGCTGATCCCTTCCGCAGGGAGGAGGAAATAACCTGCTGTACTGTGGTGTGCCCTAGTTTTGGGAGCTTAAACAGAAACGAAACCTAAAGTGCTGTAATCAATAAACCTTTGTTAAAGCACACACGCTGTTAGAAATGTGCATTCTTTCTGAGGATCCTCCACCGCTGTGCTTTCAGCAGCTCCTCCCTCAGCCCATGCCCCACTGCAAGCAGATCAGAGCTTTGCTACAAAAGGCCCACAGAACTTTAAGTCCCAAACCCTCCACCTGGCAGCAGCATTATGAGCCTGATTTCTGTGACAGGTGCTCTGCCCTCAGACCAACCATCTTTTCCTTAAGAAAGTGGTGAAAACAACTACTGAGCACAATGGGGCTTAGACAGCACCCAAAAGCAGGCAGCCTGTAGCAAAACACAGCAGGAATTCACTTACAGCTGGAAGCTGGGCTCTTAAGACCAAACTACGTGTGCAACTTCTTGTGCTCTTGCCCAGGAAACACAGAGCTGTAGCAGCACTATTCCTGCAGCAGCTGTAGAGCAGCATGGCTTTCTTCCCAGGAAACCACACTGCCTGCTTTGCTTTCCCACCAGCTCAGTTCTGTGGCTCTTGGAGTCTGCGTGCTTCATTTCTTGCTTTATCTTAAAGGCTTTAAGCCTGGATGTAATTATTAATAAAATGATTACCATGGGTTCATCCTCTGGGTGTCTACCCAGTGTCTGACAAACTGAGTGCCAGTCGTGGCAGCATTTCAATGAAACCCAAAAGGCTGCGGCAACAAAAAACAAGGAAGCAGCACAAGAGGATGTTGTTGCATTTTGGAGATGGAGACTTCATAATTGTGCTGAGACGCCAGCAAGTCCACGCTGCTCAAAGGCTGCCCTGGGCATCCGCTGCTCTCTGCTGTGGCAGGGACAGGTTGGCACCTGGTAGCCTTAGAAAACAGAACTAAATGGAAATACAGTGGGGTCTTCGGCTCAGTACAGGGCACTTAATGCTCCTGAACACAGTGAGATTCAGGGCTGCCCACCACTGGCATCCCTTGCTGCATTTCAGACCCTCTGCTGGACTGCACACTGCTCAGTATTCCAATGTTCTCATAGATTTTGTTACACCATCATTTTGTAATGGGAAATTTGGACAGCAACCTCCCTTCGGGGGCAGGATGCTTCCCATGCCTCTTCTCATGCTTCTTCCTTTTGCATGCGAGGCACCCGGCTGTGAGCTTAGCCCTACGCCTCACACAGTGCACCTCCACCAGCACAGCACAGCCTGCTTGTCCCAAGAATTGACATTCTGACATTCAGAAACACCAAGGATACACATGCTTTGGAAAAGCAAAGCGTCAAACAAGACCTCCCTCCAAAGAGCACGCAGAGAGCTGAGGATCTCAGCACAGTTCTCCTCCCTCCCGAGTTACTCATTCCCATGTTGTGAATGATCCAGAGACTGTCAGCATGGATGTTAGGCGATGCTAACGCTGCTGCTCTTCCCTGCAGGATCAAAGGGCTCAGTGGTGGTTTCTGTCACAGCTCCAGCATGACTGAGCATGGTGTGTACCCCAGAATATCACCTTGGGTGCTCCTTCAGGGAGGCTTTCGGTCACTGAGCAGTTACTCCTGGACACTTGTCTGAAAATAAGCATAACACCAGGTTATCTCTGCCAGAGCCAAAGCGATGCCGCCCTGCTGCCTGCTCTTGTGCACTTTAGCAAGCAATGAACTCTTCTGTGATGTTTCCTGTCTGAGACCTGAGCATATACACACAGAAACAAGTCATCCCATGGCTCCGAAATCTCCTTGCGCTGTCTGCTAATGACACATTTCCCTGAAAGGCAAATTAATCTCTCAAAGAGGCTCCAACAGATGAAATACAAACCAAAGTAAAATGCAAAAGCTGAGGGACCATCATCCCTCTGCAGAAGTAACCACAGCCCCATAAGAGCGGCTGCTGCCGGCGCTCTGATTGCGATGGCTCTGCCCTGATGGGTTTGCAGGAAGAGCCACCATCACAGCCCGTGGGCTTTTCTGAAGTCAGAGAATTGATCAGCTCTCATTTCAGCGCCTGCAGGACACACTGGGAGCAGAGCATGCCACAGATGTGCATCTCCTGCCCTACATTCGCACAGCAGAGGGTAAATCCACGCCGCCGCAGCCCCCATCTCCTCCACCACTGATCACCTCCTCGAGCACAGAGGAAACAAACCTTACACAGGATGATAGAACTGATAATATAAAGTGTTTCCTTTCCCCTGTCAGCAGAGAGCCCCCAGGGGGCTCAGCAATCCCAGGGCCTTACACAGGGTCAGCACAATTTGGCAGCTTGGGGAGAGGAGCCCCTTTTCCTACTATGGAAGGCTGTTTTCCTGCACTCCCACAGATACTGGGCTGAAGCAGAGGGGGATGCTCCACAGGAAAGCTCTGTCCCTGGGGCAGCACCTTAAGCCCCAGAGCAAATCAGCAGGAACTGCATTTGGGAATCATCAGGCAGCTCTCTGGTTGATGACAGCTGCAGCACTGCCTGTGTTTGCATCCTGACATGAGATTTCAAAACCATTGCAGGAAAGGGGATTTCTCCACGGCCTTGCCAATATATGTGGTTTTTTTTGGTTTGTTTTTCTTTTGTGCTTGAAGAGTGACTCCCTTCATGGTGTGGGCTGACGAGCTGCTCATTCACAGGGCTGTGGCCACGAGGTCAGGCTGATCTTTGCACCAGCTCTGTGTTTGTCAAGAGCTCAGGGCTATTTCTGCAGTGAAATCAGCACACAGCCTTGCGTTCATTGGCACTGCAGTCGCCATAGAATCACAGAATGGTTTGACTTAGAAAGGACATTTAAGGGCCACCTGGTCCCATTCCTTACAACCAACAGGGACCCCCCCCCCCCCCCAGCTCCATCAGGTGCTCAGAGCTCCTCCAGCCTGAGCTCAGGTGTCCCCACCTGTGTGGGACAATGTGTGCCCCTGCCTCACCGCCCTATGGAAGGGTGGTAGGGACAAAGGGCAGAACACAGCCCAGCACCTTGCTGGCAGCTGCAGGCAGGCACTGAGACAGCCACCAGAACTTCCATTTGCATTTGGTGTGCTTTGGCACCAAATACTCGAAGCCAGCACCTTGGCACCCAACCTAGAATCCTCCCACAGCTCTAAAAAGAATTAGCATTGCAGTGCTTTTAAGGGTTTTCCAAGCTCTCATTTTTGAGCACCTGCCAAGCAGCAAAGCACACATCAGCCCCACTACAGGGTAGGGTTGTGAAATCCCTGGGGAGCCCATAGCTGTCTGCTGCTGAAGTTGGGAGGCCTGGAGCCAGCAGTAGATAAGCAACTCCAGCATACAGCTCCAAGAGAGCAAGGGAGGATCCAGCAGGGCAGGGAGCACAGCTGCACTGAGGAGCACAGGGACAGCAGCTGACAGATGTGGGCAATTTGGGGCTCTAAGCGCAGGCTGAGTGGGAACTGCATTGCTGTGATCACACTGTGCCAAGCAGCAAGTCAGAATGAAAGGAAATTTGGAATAGACACAGAATGGTGCACAGAGGGAGATTTCCAGGTCGTGGGAAGGGCTGAAACAGCGCTGCTAAAATACACTGCCACAGATAAGGAGAGTGTATTCCTCACTTAGTAATTATAGCAGCAACTCAGCCTCTCTCATGCCTTCACCCTTGCAAAGGAAGTTTTGCTGGCAGCCTGAGGAGCCATTTCTGAGAAGGAGTCAGACAGGGAAGTGCTGCACCACACAGAGGTCATCCATCAGAGATCTGATTTCTCAAGCACTGATGACACAAGCGAAGGACTTGAATTCAGGCCTCGCATGACCCACAGCATCGAATCAAACCCAAAGGCTTTTGCTCCCTGTAGTAAATTATGTTGCCAGGAAACATGGAGTTATCTTGGCACATTTTGACACCAGTGCTTAAAAACCTCTAGAAAATGATCGCTTATCTTCCTTGTAATGGATGCTGGCTCAATCTCCTTTAATTCACAGAATTCCTCCCAAATCACATTAAAAATAGCCTGATGGTGCTAGCAGTGAGAGCCCACCGTGCCTACCTCTGCCTGTCCTGCACTGTGCATCTCTTCAAGTGCTGTTCCTCTCAGTATCTGGTGCTCTCTGCTGGAAAAGCAAAGCTTGGGGCAGAGGGGAGAAAACAGCCCTGCTTTGCTGCTGTGCAGCCACAGCCTGGAACTCAGCAAGGAGAGCAGAGTAACAAAAGTCCAAGGTTATGGTGAGCGAGGGTGTGCTCAATGTGGGCACAAAAACAAAGGAAAAAAATAAAGCTACTTACCCTTAGAAGGCCTCAGGTATGCAGGGATCTCCAGCAAAATATCCTCATTGCCACTGCCAACCCTTAAATGAGGGCTGGGAAGGGGTGGATGCACCTGAGCTCACCCTGCCTTCCCACCAGGTGTTCCATCACTGCTTCAGGCCCTGACTTAGCATTTCTGCTTCTTGGATTTGCATTCTGATTTTTACTTCCAATTCCCCGATAAGAAAAGCAGAAGTAGGGAAGCACTGCATCCATCTGGGTTGCACACTGACCAGTCCTGGCTGTGCCCAAAGCACTCTGCTGCTGCTCCAGGGCTTTGCGCAGCTCTGAGAAACCACAGCTGTCACATCCCACACACTGAGGGCTTCTCTGCAATGCCAGGATGAACTGCCTGCCCTGTGCTCAGCTGGGGGGTGCCTGGCCTGACTGGTGGTAAGAAATCACTGGGACAAGTGAGCATGGCACAGCGGTGGCTGTGGTGGAAGCAGTGCGGATGTGTGTACCCAAAAACCCCACCTAAATGCAGGGCAGAGAAAGCCCTCCCAGGTAGCACTGGGATGGAAAGAACCGAATGCTTCTCCCCAAACCCTGCAAGCAGTAAAGCACTGCTACTCATTGCATTTAAACCCAAGAATCACACAGGGAACAGAGGAGGGGCACAGCAGCACAGAAAACATCTGGAGAAGCAAGTTTTTTTTTTAGTAAAGCCATGAAAAACATGCTTTTTGGAAGAGCTGCGTCACATACATCTCCATAATGCAGCAGTGTTTGGTGAGAGCATTGCAAAAGCAGAAGAGGGTCAGTTTGTACCCTGCAAAGGGCTCCTAAATGCAACAGGTTGTTCCTTCTGGTTGCTCCTGAGGGGCAGCAGGAAGGCTCTGCTTGGCAATAGCTGTGCCTGACAGCAGCAGCCAGGCACTGAGGGCATCACTTTGGGGGATGGTGGGGTGACACAGCCCCCAGGTGTCACTGCTTGTTGGCTGGGGGCTGCCTGCACGCCTCCCGAGGGAGGGGAGGTTGGGATGAGCCACCTACGGAGCGGCTTAGAGCTTGGAAAGTGTGAATACGTCTGGAAATGAGAAGCAGAAGTTGCATCCTTAAAAAAAAAAAATAAAAATCACACACACACACAAAAACAACCCCAGACTGCAGCTGCCGACAGCTCTGAGTGAACACAGCCGGGGACAGAGTGCCCTCTGCTGCTGCGCTTCGTGGCGCTCAGCTCGGTGCCATAGGAAACACAGAGCTTCAGTGGGGAGAAAGGAAGGAAAGCCTCCCTTTGCCTTGCCCCAGACTAATACCTCCTGTTTCACGTGGGTCGCTCCCAAAGTAATGCCTCCTGCTTACTGCCATGGAAGCTGGTCATACAGAGAGCTTTATGACACTTTTTTTATAGACGGAGGATATCCTTGGCTATGAAACACTGACTTCCAACGCGGTCACTGCCATCAGCTCTGCATTTTCACCAGCCATGAGCAAAGGCTTGCATGGCATGCACGTACAGATCTGCACCGGCAGAGGTGACCACTGTTCCATGGCTGCTGTGGTGGTGTCATTGCCAGGGAGACGATGCCCACATCACCCACCTTTCATTGGCCCCAGCAGATGGAAGTCTGAATGCACCAAACCCGGGCTGTGCAGTGGGAGTGCTTGGACAGTCCAACCAGGACAGGCAAGACTCTTCACGTGAGTTGTTACGTGACCTTAATCACTTTGGTGCAGGATTAGCAGCTGCAGCAGAGGCTGCATGGTATTTAGGGGAGGAAGGACAGCCAGCCATCACACCTCCCTCCACCCTACTTTTCAGACCCTCTTTCTCCAGGCATTTCTCAGTCAGACAGCCAGAATCTCTGCTTAATGCCTCGCTCCACTTTTACCTTCCCTGACCATAAAGCCAACGCCAGGGGCCCTCTGCTGGGCAACGCTATTTCCTCAGCCCACGGTGCTCCCTGACGGCTGGCATCTGCCACAGCCACACACCCAGGATTTACAACACCCAACACCAGAGATGTGACGGACTGCACAGCTCAATTCTTACTTTATTTCCTCCCCTAAAATCAGGCCGGACAGACAGCCAGACCAGAAGCATCTGTTTCTCTTTTCGATGTCAGCAGCGCCAATAAGAAGCATCTGCAATGTTTTGATTTCACACACACATTGTTTTTGGCTTTCCCTCGAGGATGGAGCTCAGTGTGGCTGTGACCCAACGCCGGGCACAAAGCACTCTGTTTGCAGGGCCGTAGGGAAGTGCTTGCTTTGCAGGAGGCACAATTCACCCCATGCAGCTCCTGCAGGGTGAGGGCTGGGTGCTGCACCCCACTGCCATCCATCGCACCCCAGCTGGGATGCGCCACACACAGCAGTAAGCTCACACTCGTTGCCACAGTGGGGAGCCAGCATCCTTCACAAGAGCTGCCTGCCTGCCTGTTCTGCAGCTCCTTTTTCTTTTCTTTCTTTCTTGAAGGAGAAGAAGAGGAATATCTGACAGCTTTGGCAGGGCAGCGGGGCTGGCTCGCCTTCTTTTCCCAAAGAACATTGTTAATGAGACAAGCTGTGGCCCTGAGAATGCAGAAAACATGCATTTTTCTTGTAAACACAGCAGCACAGTGGTTAGCTGGAATTCACCCCAGAGCAGAGAGCAAGCCTCGGGTTCAGAGGTCATGCTATAAGCAAATACTTCAGTGCAGTTTACATTTTCAGACCTGCAAACATGCAGCAACAAATTAGATTTTCCTGTGTCTACTGAAGCAAAGCACAGATGCGGCCCTGGCAGACCCCAGCCCTGGGATTGGGACGTCTGGTGCTGCCCCACAGACCCCACCCAGCCCACACTCTGCATTTTCCTCCTTGTAAAGCCATTTTGAATCATACAATCCTAGAACCCTTCATGGAGGTTGGAAAAGACCACTGAAGATCATCTGTGGGGCATCTGGGATCTCTGGTGGGGCTGGAAGGGTGGGGGATGCTTTGGGATACCCCCAGCTGTGGGGCTCAGTGTTGTTATTTTATATGAGAAAGCACAGATGTGCTGTTAGGTGGCTGAAACAAGATGCAAGAGAGGTTCAGACACAGCAATATGGAAACACTGCACCAGGGAGAGATGTTATCCTAAGGGCAAGCTCTGTCCAAGATATAAATAACATGGAATAGGAAAAATGTCACATGGATTGAGACATTTGGAGAAGAAAAAGGGCTTTTCTCTGAGGAGGCTGCAGGGATATCAGAGGCAGGAGGCAGTGCCGTGCAGATCGTGGAGCTGCTGACCTCCAGCTCAGGCAAAACGCTGCTCCTTGCTGAGGTCAGAAGTTGTTTTTGCTTTTTCAGCAATGCCTCAGAGCTGCAGCCTCTGTTATCCAAAAGCAGCAAGCCTGTGCTTATGGGGGAGGAGAGAAGCGAGGGCGGCTGCAGGCAGAGCTGGAGCACAAAACGGAGAGTTTTTGTGCCAACAGATGACACAAGTCAAAGAATCAGACACAGCTGACATTGGGACAGCTGTGACATTCAGAACAGCCTCTTACCAGGAGCTGCTGTCACCTGGATGCCCGCTGGGCACAGATCCTGGGCTGTGATGCTGAGCCCCAGGTCGGGTCCTGAGCATCCTGCACAGAACCTGAGACTGGGAAAGTTGCTAAAGCTGCTTGGTAGAAAGGAGAGAGAAGCTCTCAGTTCAACTTGCAGGACAAGCTCAGCTTAGCTCTGGACTCCTGAGCAGTTTCAGGCTTGCCTGGCTGTTTTTCCCCATGTTTCATGACAAGGAAGCTGAATTGAATTACTTGTGGGTAAAATATGCAATAGCCACTTTGACAATTATTTTTTAATTCAGTTAGCTGCGAGTTTTGTTGACAAGACAAGAGACACATCAAGCAGCTGAAAGAAGAAAGGCATTTCTGAATGCATCCACAGCCAGAGAGCAGAGACGAGAAGCAGATGTTGGAGGCAACTGTGTCAAGAAAATAGTGAGTGGGCCAGAAAAGAGATGGTAACAAAATAACAGCACCTCTGCTGATGGCAGCTGGGTTTCAGGGCTGGGGATGCCACCATCCTGGGGCTGTGTGTAGCCATGCACAGGGTGACGAGCAGGTGATGCTCTAAGGATGGCCCCGAGTGAGTTTTACTGTGACTGCAAACCTCACCATCCACTCCGCATTACTTGCACACAAAGGTTCAAGCAACCCCACTCTGCCAGAGCTCTTCCCCCCTCCATGGGCTGGGCTTGTTCCCATTGCAGCTTGCTTGGATTTTCATTAGGAATAGAGAAGGGAATGCACAAACAAACCACAGTGCTGGCAGTGGGAGATCGTGGAGGGTCCCAAGGTGGAAGGGAGCCGTGGGGATGGGAGAGAGGAGAGGAGATGCACAGCTCCACCCCACAGTGCCCTGCAGGCACCGCGTGTCAGCATCGCCCCAGGGCAGGACTGAAAGTTGTGGTCTGGAAGGAAATGAAAATGAACACACTTTGAGCACAGGTTTGTTCACACAGAAGGAAGTAATGTCTTCCTTGGGGCAAATAAAGCTCAGGGTGAGGCAAACAACACAGCGGTCATTGGGTGTCTTTGGAGAGCATCACAGACAGAGCTTCACTGGTTTGTTCTGCTGTGAAATTCCAAAAACATACCACCAAATGGCAAAGTCAACTCTTTGGAAGGGTAGATACCTGCAGGACAAGGAGAAATGGTTTGGAGTTGGGGGAGGGAAGATTGAGGTTGGATGTCAGGGGGAAGTTCTGTACTATGAGAGCAGTGAGGTGCTGGAACAGCTGCCCAGAGAGGCTGTGATGCCCCGTCCATCCCTGGAGGTGTTCAAGGCCAGGTTGGATGGGGCCCTGGGCAGCCTGGGCTGCTATGAAATGTGGAGGTTGGTGGCCCTGCGTGTGGCAGGGGGCTGAGATTCAGATCCTTGAGGTCCCTT